GGGATTGCTGGATCATAGGGTAGTTCTATTTCTAGTTTTTTGAGGAGGCACTATCCTGTTTTCCACAGTGGTTGTAACATTTTAGTCCCATCAGCAATGGATAAGGGTTCCAGTCTTCCTACATCCTTGCCAATGTCATCACTTATTAAAATCAGTCCCTTTTTACATGGACGGAGATGGATAGTGTTTCATTGTCGCTTTGATTTGCATCTACTGGCTACAGATTGTGAGCATCTTTTCATTTTTGTTGGCTGCTTATATATGTCTTCTCTGATAAAGGTTCTGTTCACATCCTTAGCCTATTTTATAACTGGGTTGCCTTTTGGTTGTTAGAGTTTTATACAAATTTTAGAGATTAAAGTCTTACTTGATATGCCATTTCCAAAGATTTTTCTCCCAGTTTGTAAATTCTTTTTGCTCTTTTGACAGTCTGTTGATAGGCTAAGTTTTTACTTATCTTGAGCTCCCATTTATCTGTTTTGTCTTCTGTTCATGCACATGTTACCCTATTTTTATAAAAGATGAAGTCCCATAGTTTTCTCCCAGGAATTTTAAACATTAAGGGCTTGGATCCACTTTCTGTACTTGGTGTGAGGTATGGGTCCCGTTTTCATTTTTCTGCAAGCGGATATCCAGTTTTGCCAGCACCATTTATTAGAGAGACTGTTTTTTCCCCCATTGAATGGACATTGATCCCCTGTTGAAAATCAGTTGTCCAAAGGTGGCTGGGTTTAATTTTAGTATAGTTTTAGTGAAAGTGTACACAGCAAAACAGGTTTCCATTCAACAATTTCTACACATACTGTTCAGTGACACTGGTTATACACAATCTTTCCTATTATTGCACAGGATTTGTTCATTTGCTTTTATAAAGGTAGAATAACTGTAACAATGCCACTACCATGGCTGATGTAGTCAGTGCCCCATCCATATTTATACATGGTGCTTTTGAATGTTCTAATTTCCCAAAAAAACTCTTTCCCTGGCTTTTCCTCCTAGGCCTTAGGCAGTCTAGTTATGTCTCAACTTGCTCTTTTGCCCCAGGTGGCTGTGGACTGATGGTTGGACTTAAAAAAGTGTTTTTAAGCAGTACCTGCTGTTCTGCCCCAAGTTTGAGATGGTTAAAATAAACGAATGCCTGCATCAGTCCTTCAAGTAGCCCCTAGAGAGATTAGAACCAATGAACACAATAATTTGCAAAGGTCTACTCTGCTCCCTCCATGACTGTGTACCTAAAGGGAGATGAAGAACTGCTGGCTTCAAGACTACTGAACCTGACCCTGAACCAGGGAAGGAGTGAAGCACATGCAAACAAATGAAAAAGCCACAAAGATTTCCTGTTTTTTAAGTTGCCTTTTTCTTGATTCAATATTTGCTTGCTTCTGTTATTGTACTTTTCAGCTCCAGAATGCTCCAGAGTTCTGACAGCTGCTGCTTGTTCAGTGTTGCTGGGCGGGTGGGGAGGGGACAGGAGCTGGCAGCTGATGACTCTTCCCTCTTACTGATGTCACTCTCAGAAACTTCTAAACTAACCTGTTTTTTGCTTGCTGTCTCTGTGTCCTCAGTCGACAAATTACAAACAGCAGTGGTGATCCAGAAATAGACCTCAAGACCCCACTGGCCATGTGGAGCAAGTACACCTCCTCACCACCCAGCAACATCTCCACTGCAAAAGCCATCCCCTGCTCATCCACTCTAGAAGAGGATGCTAGCCAGAAATAAAGTGTGACTTCTTCCTGGACAGAATCAAGAGACTTAGCTCTGTGAGACTGGAGTGTAGGGAAGGGGGCAAGAGGAACATGAAGGTGATGGACAGGGTGGGAAGAGACGAGAAGGCAGTCCCATGCTTATCTAGGCAAAGCCAATGGGAGAACTTGGCTTGGACCATCGCCCCCCATTCCCACTCTGAGTTTACAACTTTACTACTGGCCCCTATTCAATGGTAGATCTGCCAGGGACTTTGGGTTTATGTCTGTTGCTGGAGCCAACAGCCCTTCCCCTAATCCCATGCCGTGGTAGTTAAGGTCGTGTGTCAACTTGGCTGGGCCTGGTTGAGTGGCTGGCCAGCTGGTAGTAGTTATTCCCCATGATGAGACTGGCAATCAGCTCCATGGTGGGCTCTACAAGTAGCTGAATAGCCGCTTTAAGGATGTGGTCTGCTTCCTATACATAAGCATGAGGTTTGGGAATGGTCTCTAGTTTATGGCACACTTGAACCCTGCATGTAGCCAAGTTGTGGTTCAGCAGCCTGCCATGCTGCGCTGATCTTGGGACTTTCAATGGACTTGAATTAATCACTTGTCATGTTCTTTGGTGACACTGGGACTGTGCCTTTTTACTTGTCAACACAGGGTTTGTCAGCCTCAGCAGCCAGCTGCTGAGTGAAGAAAAGCCTCCAGCTTCAGTGGGCTGGGTGTTGTTAATGTGCCGTTGAGATGGACCCGACTCATAGTGACCCCTCCTTGGGTTTCTGAGGTGGTATCACTACAGAAGTAGATTGTCCAACCTTCCTTCTGAGGAGTGGCTGGTGGGTTTGAACCACCAGCCTTCTGGTTAGCAGTCAAGTGCCTTAGGTACTGCGCTACCAGAGCTCCCTCAGTGGATCAGGAGCAGGAGGCAAAGCTGAAGCCCGTTGAGGGGCTTTCACCCAGCCCCTAGAGCCTGGCACTTTGAACTCGGACTTAAAGCCTCCAAACTGTAAGAGAATAAACTCTTTGTTAAAGCCATTCCATTTATGGTATATTTCTGTCAGAGCGGCATTAGGTAACCAAAACACATGCTTACTGAGATAGAGCTGGGAGAAGTGGGGGTTGAGTCAGTGCAGAGCAGGCCTGGGCGGCAGCAGAGAGGGAGGTAGCAGGTCAGGGCCTCTGGAGCTCAGTGCAATGCTGGGCCCACAGCAGGGACTCAGCTGTTGAAAGGATGATGGGGTGAGGGCCAGAGATGGAGAGCAAGAGGTCAGTGGTTGTAGCCTTAGGTATAAGAAACCTGACCCTGGGCAGGGGACAGAGACTTGTCTACGAAAATGCACAGGCCTCCCCCTTCCTGGGTCTCAGCCTTTCAGTTTAGCTGACAAGACCACGAGACTCCAAAGGGCATCCTGCTCACCAGTCCAAGGTGGAAGCTGGGGCAGGGGTGGGGAGACCGTGGGCATCAGGCTCTGGAAAGGTACAAACTCTGGGAAGTCCTTCCCTCCACTATCCCCAGAGGAAGGCTGCCTCAGTCACCCCAATCCCAAGCTAGGTCTCATGGTCTCAAAGGGTCTTCTCATTATAGCCTGCACAGCACTGCCTTTGGCCAGACTGAAGTTGCTGCACCTCAGTGCAACCCAGGGATGTTTCCTGAGAGAAGCATCTTGGGGGGGGGGGTGTTAGACAGAACAGGAATGCGGTAACAAAGTTGGAAGGGATCTTAGAGATATAAAATGAGATACAGCAGGTAAGGAAGTGCCCATGCTCAATCTCTGAGAGGCCACAAAAGCAGGCTATGTTCTCAGAGGCCTAGGTGAGGAGACCTTGACACCCACTTGCACCTAAGAAACAGCTGGGAGACAGGAGCATGTCCACTAGCCCTTCCCACTTAAGGAGACATTAAGACACAGATGAGTGCAGTTTACTGAATACAACATAAACCCTTTACATTTGGAGATCTAGGAACAGCAGAAGCTCCAGCCTAGCTTCCCTGGATGTGTTCTCTTGGCTGGCATCACTTTTACTCAGTTACCAAGGCATGAAAGCTTGGAGATGGCATGGACTTCTTCCTTCCCCTTACTCCCCCAGCTGGCTAGTCACCAGGTCCTGTCACCTCCTTCAATCCATCCGTCCTATTTCACATTCCACTTTCACTATCACCTGTGCCTCTCTCCATTTGCCTGACTGATAAAAACTACAGCCACCCTTGAGCAAGCAAATACCACTCCTGCTCAGCTGAAGCACAGAAACTGCCTCCATGTAGAGCCCGCTGGGTGCCTGCTAATGTGCTGCTCCATAAAGGTGGGAGGAGAGCAGAGGCCTCTGGGAACAGAGAATGGCCCTGTGCTAAGCCCAGGGCAGAGCAGAGCCATACAGCTTTGTCTGAATACTAATAGCTTCACCTCCAAATGCTTTCAGGGGGAGAATGATGCTAGGCCTTTTGGGGCAAAGAACCCACTGTTTGACCTGCCTATATCCACTCATCTGGGCTAATAGCCAAATCCTCTCTTTTAATAAACTCTTTTAAAATGACTCTGGCTTTTCCTGTGTTCCCTGTCTTGGCCTAGGAGCTGCCCGATACCTCCTCCTCCTCCCCTTCCTTACCCTTCTATTCTACTTTTGAGTCCTGCTGTGAAGAGAAGACGAAAACTATTTTATGGAGGGGAGGACCTTTCCCTGGAGAACAGCTGTCTTCCTGCAAATGTGGGGCAGTTATTATCCAGCAAGGATAGAGGGCCAAAGGACTTGGCCAATCTTGATGTCAGATGAGCGAGGGACAAACCACAAGGAGAAAGACAGTATGCCACCCTCACTCTGTCACATGATCAAAGCAGAGCAACAGGAGAGCATTATGGACCCCTACAAGACCTTAGAGGGAGCACTGATGCCCCCAGTCATTTTCCTATCACTGGGTGGAGAACCTGAAAAGGGTGCATGGAAGGCCAGACAAAGCCTCAGCTTTCTCCATTATTCAGCCAGGAGAGCCAGCCCCAGGGAGCCTGGCTAGCAAGGTACTCAGCACAGAAAGGGCAGGTGCCACTCTAGGCACTTGAAAGCAGATCAAGGGCAAAATCAGATGTAAGCCCCTGGAGAAACCAAGTTTCTACTCCTGTGGAAAATCAGAGGATGTGAGAGAGACTCGTGTGTGTGTGTGTGTGTGTGTGTGTGTATAGGGCGTAGGGGAGAGGGGAGGATAAGGTAGTGTTTTATTTTGGCAAAGTCACTAAAGTTCATTCTTGGGCACAACAGAGTTGTGGGAGATACAGACCAGGCTGGCAGGTACCCGGAGTGTAGGGGACAGTAGACAGGTCACAGTGGATGAGGGGCCAACAAGTGGGGCACCGATGAGTTTCCACGGCAGTCCACGTACTCATAGCTCTGGAAAACCAGCTGCTCTGAATGGCTCAGGTAGGAACAGGTGAGGGTGCCCCTGGAGAGGGTGGAGACATTACTGCCCAGCTCCCTCAGACGGCACCTCCTCCTTTCCTTCTGTTCCTTACTCTCTCCCCAACCTGTGTCCCAGCAGTTTCCAGACAACTCTGCGGCTGTCACCATCAAGAGCTTGTAAACAAGCTAGAGAAGGGGCTGGCCTTCCTACTCCTAAGAGCCCACAAAGATGTGAGGAGTCTGCTGGGATGGCTCTGAGATGGAGTGGAGCTGAGGTGGGACAGGAGTCAGAATGGGGGAGGGGAGACCAGGGGCCCACGCCCTACTTACTGGATGTGCAAAAGCACATGATGGACTTTGACTTTCAGCCAGGTACAGATTTTGCTGAGAGGGGTGGGGCGGGGGGAGAGAGAGAGAGAGAGAGAAACTGAACATGGTACCATGTGCGTTTCACATGAAGTAGCCTGCTGGGAAGCTCCAAGGAGAGCTGCAGGTCCCAGCCCCCTCCCCTCCTAGCCCCCTCTCACCCTTTCATCAGGAGCCTTCTAGCAGACACCCACCCCTCCATCCCCTCCAGCTCCAACTTGGTGACCATGGCACTCTTGCTGCAGCATCACCTCCTCAACTCCCGCCCCCACCCCCACTCGGCCCAGTGCTGGCCCCACACTGGGCAGAGAGCAAAACATTCATCTTCCTTAGAGAGTTAGTTTCAAGAGCTCATATAGTTAATGATTAATCAAATTCCATCCTGTTTTCTGTTACAATCTAGGTCCAAACACGCAGAGGCTGGGAACCCTGAACCCTTGCACATTGCAGCCTTGGCCACAAAAGGGCAGGCCAAACACCAGCTGGAGGGTTTGCTAAGCAGGAAAGACTCTAAGGGAGACAAGATCAAGGGACACTCACTAGGTATTCTCATCCCATATCCTGCTGGCCACCGTGTAAAACATCTGCCAACCAAATGGGCGTAGGGTCAGTGCCAATGCTGGCTGCTCCCCACCCACCACCACAGAGTCCACCCACCAGTGGGCAGGCTAGCCAGGGAGGCAGAAGTCACCTGTTCGCTGGCCAAAGGGCCAATGGGCAGGAGGAGGCTCTCAGAGACCTGCCCTACCACGAGGGACAGGTGCAGAACCTCGATGGCCAGCTGGGTCACAGTGATGGGGTAAAAGTTAAGATTGGAGACGTTCAAGGCATTCTGGGGATGAACACAAGGAAAGGGAGGGATGGGGGTGGCATCCTTGAGGGAAAAGCCAACAGTTGCAGAAATCTGGCTCCCCAGCCTGACTGTTCCACACCCTGTGATGGGTCTCAGGTGTGGAAGAGTGGTGCCAGGGGGCCCCTCAGAGGGGTGCTTAATGATGAGGGCACCTTTAACTATGACAGTAATCTGGCTCAGGTTCCCTTCTCCACCCTGCATGGCCTTTCCCCACTCAGTCCTACCCTAGAGTCTCAGGTACCCTCACCCCTCCCTGCACCCTATGATTTATCTTGATTCTGATCCCTCACTGTATAGTGGTTCAATCCTACACAATCTCCTATGGGGTTCATGGCTGCCCTGCTTCTCCCCAGGCTCCTAATACCCTCTGGGTGCCATCAGATCCCTGGCAACCCATCCCTGAAATGCCGGACAAAGGCTATAGAGAAGGGCTGCTGGGGGGGGGGAGGGGTGGGAGCCAGGTGCATCCACTCACCGTTATGTTGAGGTGGACATCAGCCTCGTCAAAGGCCACTGTGGAGGAGTTGAGGCCGGCAGGCTGCACAGCAATGGACCGGGGAAATAGGAAAAAGATGATGAGGGCTGAGGTCACCAGGCAGATGAGCACTGCCAGGAACACGAAGAGCTTCCTGTGGGAGAGCGGGACCCAGGACAGAGGAGAGGTCTGAACACCAAGAAAACTCCAAGGAGGGGGTCTGGACACACTTTTCCAGCCACAAAGCTCCCTCCTTCACCTTCCTCCGTACACCTGCACATTTAGCTCCCAGAGTTTGAAGATGAGTCCAGCTTCCAACACTGCTCAGAATGGGCAGGAGCACAGGACAGGGGGGAGGCAGGTAGGCTGGTTTCCATTCCTAGCTCTCTGTACCTATCAGCAAATAACTCTGAGCAACTCACTTGACCACCCCTCCCAAGCCTCAGTTTCCTCAGCTGTCAAATGGAGAGAACAAGTGTATCTATTTTCATCAAATTTGTTATGGGCTACTGTACGAAGCAGCAGCTCTGGGTTAGTGGGTAAGGCATTTGGCTGCTAACCAGAAGGCTGGCAGCTCAAACCCATTAGCTGTTCTGTGGGAGGAAGATGAGGCAATCTACTTTTGTAAAGATTTACAGCCTTGGAAACCCAATGGGGGTCACTATGAATCAGAATTAACTCAGTGGTAGTGAGTTTGGTTTTTCAGTTCAATGTATGAAACAAATGCCTGGGGGTGCAAATGGTTTCTATGCCCAGCTGATAACCAAAAGTTTGGAGGATTGAATCTACCCAGAGGTACCTCAGGAGAAATGACTGGTGGTCTACTTGCCAAAAAACAGCCGCTGAAAACCCTATGAAGCACAGTTCTACTCTGACACTTGCATCAGAACTTACTCAGTGATGACTGGTTTTTAATGCATGCAAGAGCACTAATGCCAGGTCCTGACACATAGGAAGAGCTCAATGAAAGTCAGCTCTTAATCTAGGAGAACCAAATCCAGATGTATTCTGAGAGTCCTGAACGTTAACATCAATATTCCGAACAGGACCCCACCCACACTTCTAATTCAAAACTGTGATTTGTATGAATGAGACAGGAGTCCCTGGGTGGTGCAAATGGTTAAACGCTCTACTACCAGTGAAAAGGTTGGCAGTTTGAATCCACCTAGGGGCACCTCACAAAACAGGCCTGGCGACCTGCTTCTGAAAGGTCACAGCCTTTCAGAAACCCTGTGGGGCAGTTCTGTTCTGCACACATGGGGTCGCCATGGGTCAGAATCCACTTGACTGTAACTAACAACAAAGGAGACAGCACCTTGTGGGTGTCTTAGGAGGGGCATTTCCAGTTTCTGATTCTGGTGGCTGGAGAAGGCTAGGTGGGGGCTCCCAGGGGAATTCAGGTCAAATGGACCTACAGGAAAATCAGAGTTGCAGGGGCCCCCAGTAAAACTCAGGGCTGCCTCTGAAGCGTCTCAGAACAGAGAGCAGCTGGCTTCCATCTCCAGGGAAGAGAAAAAGCAGGCCTCTGCTGCCACAGCAAGGAAAGCTCATAGGAAAAATCACTTCCCCGAAGCAACTGCAGTCAGAGCCACTCCCTCATTCTGAGGAGGATGTGCAGAACCAAGAGTCCTGGGTGTGCCAGAGGGGAGCAGTGATGCTCAGGGAAGGCCACCAAGGTGCCCACAGGCAGTGTCTGCTATGCCGGGGACTCAAGAATCCAAGAAAAATTCCTGGGAAGAGGAGCTAGCACATTTAAGTCCAGTGAGGCTCAGGGGCTGAAGGAGGAGACAAATAAGAAGACCAGCTCCCAGTGGGCAAAAGCGTGTGGAGCCAAGGGAGGGAGAGGGGCTTACGTGTGTCTGGGCTTCAGCCTCTGGTCCCCATAGGGAATCAGGGCTACCAGCTGCTTCTCCAGCTCTGTAGAGAGAAGAGGGGAGAGGGAGGGCCAAGAAGCAGTCATGACCACTGTTTCCTGTCCCAGCCTCCCAGAAAGACCCACCTACCTCCCAGACTAACATCAGAAACATGCTGCCTCTGCTCCCCCACCCCAGCAGGAAGGGGAGTACTGGGCTGCACCAAATACTGAAGTAGGCAGCTCAGCTTTTCCTCTCTAGAAGGGTAATGAGATGTTCACTAACAGGTGTAAGGAATCTATGAAAGTCATCAGCAAATCAGAGATGCCAGCTTTGGAAAGGTAATTTTTAATTTCCTGAATCCTAAGCCATAGAGCTTTGCTCGGGCAGCAGAGTGGCTGGAAAACCCCAGCTGGGGATACAACCAGGGCAAAAGGAGGGGTCTCTGCAGCAAACCCTGGGGTAGTTAGCCCCTCCCTCGCCTACCTGAGACTGGGTGACCACGAGCTGGGAGCAGACTCAACTACATTCAAACAGCACTCGGGGGGTCTGGCCCTAGGCCAAGATCAGAGCTTTTCTTGGATTCCAGATTATTTCTAGAACCTTGGCCTACTCACCTTGGGGGATCTCTCCACTGCCTTGGCAGGTGGGACAAGTCACAAAGCCGCCACCAGTAGCCCCTTCTTCACAAGGCACACAGGAGCTGAAGGACTTGCTGCTACTGGTGCTGGAGTAGCTGGTGGCTTTGCTGCCATTGGCTCGGTCCTGGGATAGGATCAACTTGCTCTCGTCCTCCTGAGAGCTCAGCTGGGAGAAGGTTTCCCCCATCCTGCAGGGCGATTTTTCACTAATGAAACAAGAACAAATTCCATGCTCAGCTTGTTAGCACCGACACAGAATACAACTCTGCTTTTAAGTTCTCAAGGTTAGTGAAGAGGCCCACGAAGGGGCTCAAGAAGTGCGAACCTGAAGAAGACAAGGTTTGGAAAACTGTATGGTTACTTAGGACTCTTGATATCAGAAATCGCAATACATTTGAGCTCCATTCCTCATTGTAGGAGAGTTCTGTCTGCCCACAAGAGGGAGAAGAAAAGGGAAAAGAAAAGAGGAAGTGATTGCACACTGGGGAACTTCCATAAGTGAGTGGCCCAGCTTTGTTTTTCCTGAGAAAGTTGCTGACAATCACTTCCAGAGAAGGAAGCTGCCTAGGGCTGGGCTGCAGCAGTCTGCACTCCCTTCAGCCTCTCAACAAGAGTATTAAGAGGTCGCTACCAGCCACTCCTCAGAAGGAAGGTTGGGCAATCCTACTTCCGTAGTGATACTGCCTCGGAAACCCAAGGAGGGGTCGCTATGAGTCGGGCCGACTCAACGGCAAATAACGACAACAAGCACCAGGGCAAAACAGCCTGAGGAGTATCCCAGACGAGCGGTGGAAGGAAGTAAACTTCCATTCCTGAGCCTCGGCAGGTGCTGGCTTCATTAGAAAGCAGGGATCCTTTGAAACAAGGAGAAAGAGAGAGAGATCACAGGTGTTCGCTCAGAAACCTACTTAAAGAAGCCCTGGAAGGCGTGGGAACCACTTCCTCGCTGCTTTTTGTTGGCTCCGTAGGAAAGCCCGCCTGAGGATGGCTCACAGCAATACACTTCACTAGGCAAGATCAAAGCTACTATCTGGAAAAACGCAGGAGGGGTGGCTGAAAGAGGAGGGCAAGGTGAGTTAAAATAAGGGGAGCCTCACCTGGCGCAGGTCTGGGATCTCTGTGGCTCCTCTCAGTTGCAAGAGAGCAAGGTGTCTGGAGTGTTTTTGGGGAGAAGGGCCTCTGTGGCAAGGTGGCGCTAGGGCCGCCCCGCAACTATCCCCCTTCGGCAGGGTCCTGGGGGGAGAGAATGGGGTGCGTTGAAGGGAGTGAAGTGCAGGGACCTTGGTCTCCGAGAACACCAAAGCTGCTTCCTGCACTTTCGGGGTTCGGTCTGCAGAGTGGTGAGGCCGGTGCGGACGGAGAAGCGGGTATTTCATTGAGATTTCAGCTCTCGCTAGAAACGCCGAGAAGCCGTCAGTTGAGCTTGATGCTAGGGGAAGGCACACGGGGTCCCTTGGTCCTGGCCTTCAAAAACGAACCCAGGGAAGGAGGGTCCCGGGAGCATCTTATCTCGAGCGATAAGCAGCGACGAAAAGGCTGTAAGCGGAAACGAAAGTGCGGAAGTCTGGCCCCACAACAAGCCTTGATGGTGACTCAGGAAGTCCCGCCCCCCTCCCGGGGCCCATCCCCCTCTCGACTCCCGGCTCTGGGACAGGCTCTCCTGCTCTTCAAGCCCGAGCTCTGGACTCAGCTTCCGCAAAGACCACCCAGTCAGGGTAGAAGTTTCAAAGGACCTTTATTTCACCATTCTTTTAAGTGGTTATGTACAAGTACAAGGAGGTGGACGACCGGACCCACGACGTTCCTGGATTTCTACAATAAGACTCAGGGGTCAAGACGGATCAGGCCCGGATGGGTCTCTTACCCACCACAATTACACACACCCTGCTGTTCACAAAAACCTTCAAAATAACTAACAGCCTGGTTGGTTTGTGGTCTGAATCCTGGTTTTATTTAATAGCATTCAACAGTTATACTGTAAATAAATGTTATGGCTAATGATTATAAAATCACCATTATAAATACCAACCAGGTTAAATAATACTATTTTAACTCTCCTTCCCCCTTTGGCCTAGGAGTCTGATTCTTCACTTGCTCTTGAGCAGTCATTTTTCTGAACAAATCTTCAGCACTTTTCATTACCCTTTTTCTTCCTTCATCAACTGCACCCAAGACCCTCTTCTGTAAACAGAGTGAGGATATGGGCTCTTTAAGAAGCAGCTCATTCCCACTCATCCTCAGATTCAACCACAACATTTTTCAGTGGGTTTGCCCCCTACCCGAGTTCTGCAAAATACCAGCGTCTTCCTGTTCTAGGCTCTCTAGGGCAAAATACTTTTAAATAGACTTCAGCCATTTAAGAAGTCATCAGGATATCCCATACCTCACACGCACACACTCACTTGCCCACCTGTGAACTTTACTGAGATTAACATAGGAGTCTGCCTTTCATTCATATTTCTATTTCCCTCACTCTGCTGTAAAATAAGATACGCCATGACATACATACATACATATATATATATATATATTTTTTTTAAAAGTGTAATTGTTAAAATTTACTATTCCTTTTTTAAGTAATAGAAGGGTTCTTTTCTTCCCTAGAGTATTAGCAAAATATTCATACTACCTACTTAACTTTCTTTTTCCCTTAAAGAAAAGAAAAATGTATGCAAACTTACTACAATAAACATAGCTCAGTAGGTGCTGGTGAGTTAATTATTTAGCACACGCCTCCCTCCTTTCATTGAAATGCAGACCTACAAGGTGGATACTCTTAAACGGATTAATTGGTCTTTAGAAAACAAAGGTATCAATTACTAAGTCTTGCTGGAAAATTATTTTCTCCTTGAGAAAGGAAGAGTATCAATGTTTCTGTCATGCTCTGGGTGTCATTTCAATGCACACAGCTGTGAGGCTTGGGGTTGTAGGGTGAGAGAAATGATAATCATTCTTGAAAACAACTGATGATAGCCTTCCTTCCAAAGTTCATTTCATTTAAAAATTGACAATTAACAGATACCTCCATAGAAACATCCACATTAGCTAAGAATTAAAACAGAACAACAAAAAAAACTATGGTTCAATACAAGCAGAAAACTGGTTCTACAGGGAGTTCAGATTATACTTAATACACAAAAATGGAGAAAGGAGTTTTATCTAAATCAATTAAAAAACTGTGTTCCTACTATTCATCCAGTGTCTGAAGTGAAAATTTAAGTTCTGGTCATTGATTGGCTTCAAAAAATACTGTATTGCATATATTGTCTTGACAATTCAATGATGGGCTATATAAATAGTCATCAGATTAAAAAACAAGCAAGGACTTCTACCCCACACCCCAATAACAGAATAAAGATCATCTCTGAGCAGCAGTTATTATTTAATACAAGGAAACTCTTCAGTAGCGGTGGCTGTACCAGTCGTTGTTGTTGACCTGAAGGAGATCTGTCACAACCTGCAGGATGTTGTAATTGTGTTTCTTCAGCAGCCTCAGGTTCAGCTGTCTGTCACAGAATCCCATTTCAAAGAGATGGGCCATCAAGGCTGCTGTCTGGTCTTCAGAAACTACGGGCTGTGTGCAGACAGGAAAAGCAGGACATTTGCTATGTAAGTGCTTATCTTGTAAATTCTTAAACTGTTAACTTTACCTTACTAATAAAGCATACTACTGTTCCTAGATTTATACAAAATACTAGGTAACGAGAACAAGAGGATGGTGCACTTGTCTGCTTTGTACCAGGGGTCTCCTGAGGGGTGAGGGGGATTGGGAAGGCCCTGTTAGAAATTAGGTATGTGTGTGCTGGAAGGAGAAAGGAAACCTGGGGACTAATGAACTGTCTTAGGACTAGGAAGAGAACACTTCAGAGAAGACTTTTAGAAAGAAGCATTCTTTGGACAGATGAAATTAAGCTCTAAAAACCCGGTGAAGACAAAGCCTTATTTATGAAAATCAAGGTACAAAATACCTCCTGTTCTACAGGGCTGTTGAGAGAATTCCAATGAGAAACTGCATGTGTGTTGAGCATAACCTCTGGCATTTCCCTCTCTACCCAATCCTACTGTTCCCTTCTTCCCTTTTATTTCAGAATAGATGATCCATCCTCCTTTCCAAATCGATCCTTCCAAAATTACTCTGCTTTGGATCACCTCTCACCATCTCAGGAATCTGTCCATTAATTATTCTCTCTCTCTCTCATCTCTTCTGCTACCAGCTGGCTCTTTTCCTTGAAAGAAAAGAGCTCAAGTCTCACACATCTTTAAAAATGTCTCCCCTCTGCCTTACGCATCCTAGCTTCCCCTCTTTCCCTCTGGAGCCCAGCTATTTAAAAAGTGGGGCATCCCTGCACTTTGAAATTCCTCACTATCAGCCCACACCTCTCTGTAGCATTTGACACTGCTGACCATTCCTCCCTTATTAAAACTCCCTTCCTTAAGTTCCAGCACAGAACTCTCCTCATTTTCCCTTTAGTTACCTGTCTTCTTTGTAGGCAACTTCCTTATTCTTTAAAGGCTGCTGCTTACCTTACCTACTCTGCCTGGATGATCAATCACACGGCCCTTGCTATAACCTGAAAGAAAGGGTCCAACTTCATCGCCAGGCCAGCTCTCTCCCCTGTGCTCCAGCTTTATATATCCGACAGCATTTTGGTTCTTTTTACTTAGATATGACATGCATGTCTCAGATGCAACACCATCCAAAACTGACCTAATTGTCTCTCTTCTCATCCAAATATGTCCTTCTTCCTGCATATTCTTTTTTATTCATCACCTAAGCCAGAAACTTGGGATTTACCATTGACTTCTTTCTAGTCACTGAATCATGGTCTCCAAGTTCTGTCATTACTACCTCTTAATTATCTCTTTCAAGGAACTCTGGTGCAGTGGTTAAAGCATAAGGCTTCTAACCAAAAGGTCAGCAGTTTGAACCCACCAGCCACTCCACAGGAAAAAGATGAGGCAGTCTGCTTCTGTAAAGATCTATAGGCTTGGAAACCCTGAGGCTGTTCTAGTCTGTCCTATAGGGTCACTATGAGTCAGAATCAACTCGATGGCAGTGGGTTAATTATCTCTTTCATTCTTCCTTCCTACCTACATATGGATTCTCAACTGATTTCTTTCCTGGCTTCATGCCAACATCCTCACTGTAGTGAAGTTCTCTTACTAAGACCTTGATCTTGTTAACCA